AAGAGACAGTCCTTGTAATTTTAATCCTTGATTTCTTACCAGTTAAAGAGACAGTCCTTGTAATTTTAATCCTTGTTTTCTTACCAGTTAAAGAGACAGTCCTTGTAATTTTGATCCTTGATTTCTTACCATTAAAGAGACAGTCCTTTTAATTTTAATCCTTGATTTCTTACTAGTTAAAGAGACAGTCCTTGTAATTTTAATCCTTGTTTTCTTACCAGTTAAAGAAACAGTCCTTGTAATTTTAATCCTTGATTTTTTACCATTAAAGAGACAGTACTTGTAATTATAATCCTTGATTTCTTGTTAAAGAGACTGTTCTTGTAGTTTTAAGAGAAAGATATCACAGCACCCTCTAAACTTTTCTCTGATAAAATAATTTGAACGAAATCATGGTTTTACTAGCTCATGAAAAGCTTGAAAATCAATATAGAAGATAACAAATCTATTTTTCTTGCCTCAAGGGTTGGATTCCTCAAAAAGTTCAGCCAATTTGTTTCTGCCGTTTGGCCAGCAATAGCTGACATATAAATATATATATATATGCATACATAAATCCTAACATCTATATATATATTATATAGATAACAAGTTCGCGGATTTAATTTATTAGATATATTTCCGGAAAAAAATGGATAAACTAGAACTGGAAGATGTGTTGAGAGAAGAAGGAAGAATTGATAAGAGGGTAGAAGATTATCTTTCTTCCCTGCACCTAATCAATCAGGAATTCAACAATATTTTAGAATATGTCAGGGGTATTTATTTTAGAATATGTCAGGGGTCTTCATTTTAGAATATGTCAGGGGTCTTCATTTTAGAATATGTCAGGGGTCTTTATTTTAGAATATGTCAGGGGTATTTATTTTAGAATATGTCAGGGATCTTTATTTTAGAATATGTCAGGGGTATTTATTTTAGAATATGTCAGGGGTATTTATTTTAGAATATGTTGTGTTAACCTATTATTGAATATGTCAGTGGTTTATATTTTCTTTTAAATTATAAACATGTTTCAAAAATATTTGTTAATTAGTACATAATAAAATTCTTCATTTTATTTATATCATTTTTTTAAATGATACAAAATGTATTTTTATTTAAAATAACAATTTTTTTTGTGTTTTTAAAACAGAAATTTTTCATAAAGAATCTTCCCCATACACAAATTATTAAGTTTATGTCAAAATGTTTTTCTGAAACATCCAAAAGAAATATAATATTATATCCACATCCTGATTTGGCTATTTTTGTCTAATATTAATGATTTTGCCGTTAAATTCGAAATAGGGGAGTGTGATACATGTACAAGTGTACCTATAGTCAAAAGTACGTCGGAAAAATGTTCAAAAATATATTTTTTTAAATTTTATGTTGTTGAACTATGGGCAGAGTGAACCTAGAACATGGAGTCAAATATTTTATGATAAAATACAAAAACACTCAGATCCCAGGTAGAAAAGAAAATTTAATTAATTATTTTTAGTTTTTCAATGATTCTAATTCATTAAAGTAATTAATCTAAACTTCACAAAGTTTATTCAGACAAACGCACTTTTACTTATTTTCCAATCATAACATATTTTCTTTAGGGTTGATAATTGGTTGATGATGGACTCACCAGTGTATACTCTAGTTCTATCATCTCTATATCTCATTTTTATTCTGCTAATTGGACCAGCTTATATGAAACACAGGTATATATATATATATATAGTGTATACTCCCCAATTAACAATTTTGCGGAAATTCCCAGGAATCTTTCCTGGGAATCCGCGGAAATTCCCGGGAATCTTTCACAGGAAAATCTGGTGAAAATGTTGACAGCTTTTCCCAGGAATTTCTCGTAACCCATTCCCAGGAACCAGGTCCGAGGAATTTCTTGTAACCCATTCCGAGGAAATTCTCGTAATTCTATCCAAGGAATTTCTTGTAACCAGTTCTAAAAAATTTCTTGTTACCAATTCTTCAGAAAAACCAGAGAAAATTTGTAGCAAAAAGGTCTTCAGAACCAATTCCTGGGAATTTCCCTGGAACTATTCCCAAGATTTTCTCAAGAGTTCCTCAGGAATATCTTGAAATATTCACTAACAAAAGTAGTGAATAACCTAACAACTATATTGCCCCTCCAACTTTTCAGAAGTATAACCATCTTCTTAAGTCAGAATGTTATAAACTAATTCTCTTAATAAATTCCAAGAAAAATCTGTAAACATGGTGACAAAGTCCTAAGAATTTCTCAAGAATTTCCAGAGAATATTTCTGGAGAAATTCTGAGGAATTTAGTGGGGAAAAATTCCTCTGGAATATCTCTGGAATTTCTTGAAACTGAGTCTCTAAAATGTGATCCCACAAAAATCTCTCATCTTGGGGACCAATTCTAGGGAATTTCTCGAGAATTTCCGAGGAATCAGTTACAGGAAATGATTCTCGAGAAATTCCTCGGAAATTCCTTTTAGAAAGTCACCACGGTTGGAGAATCTGGGGAAATTCCTCACTTTTGTTACTTGGGTCTAGTTCTATCATCTCTTTATCTCATTTTTATTCTGCTAATTGGACCAGCTTATATGAAACACAGGTTTATATATATACAGTGTATACTCTAGTTCTATCATCTCTATATCTCATTTTTATACACAGGTTTATATATATATATATATATTGTTCTAGTTCTATCATAGTGTTAATATTGTTTAGATCTGCTTACACCCTGAAATATATTGGTTAGATCTGCTTACACTCTGAAATATATTGTTTAAATCTGCCTACACCCTGAAATATATTGCTTAGATCTGCCTACACCTAAAATATATTGTTTAGATCTGCCTACACCTAAAATATACTGTTTAGATCTGCCTACACCCTGAAATATACTGTTTAGATCTGCTTACACCCTGAAATATATTGTTTAGATCTGTCTACACCCTGAAATATACTGTTTAGATCTGCCTACACCCTGAAATATATTGTTTAGATCTGCCTACACCCTGAAATATCCAATGATTGTTTACAATTTGGCGCAAACACTTTTTAATGCATGGGTACTTAAAGGTAATACTTATTTCAAGTTTTGCTGTAGTAAAACATCATTGTTCACAGATTTACGCTATTTCTTTTAATTTTAAAAGGTGTTTTAATTCAAATTTCAAACGTAATGATTTTAAACGTTTAAGATTTTGTACAAATAATAAAGATTTTTTTCATCCATTTCAAAATACACAAAAAAAAAACTTTTAAACTCCATTTAAATAAATTTATTGCGGAAAGAAAAATAAAAAATTTTAATTTATGTTGCAAAGATAATAAAAAAGGAAATTTAAAAACATAATGCAAATAAATTAAATAGATACATGTTTCATATTTAGAGGGGTTAAAGCTGTGGTTTTCTGGTGAGTACAATTGGATTTGTCAACCTGTAGACTACTCAACCAGTAAACAGGTAAATACGAATATTAAAGAGAGTGTCCGGCTAGACACGGCATTTGAGCTGACAATGCAGGAGTGCAGGGCCACAACCTGACAGGCAGGCATGCTGCGCCACTGCCAGCCAGACCGGCGTACCGAGCCTCAACATGCCAGGCCAGACACTCCCCTTAAAGGGAGTGACCGCCTATGTAAGGTAATTGAGCTGAGTCAGTGTTGTGGAAAACTTCTTTAGGATTCATTTGAGACATATAAAACTTTTTAAAGATCTTTAAATCCTGAGTTTGAGCGCAAATTCGATGTTCAAAACTCCTACTTTGTGGGTGGATATAGCATTTTTTGATGACGCCAGTTCATTGCCACAGATTTTACCTTAGAATATACCTACTTTTTTGCTGCATTGGAAATACAAATTTCAAGGATTTTTTAAAATGTCCTAGCAAAGGTAGGATTTCATAACGTTTAAAAATGCTCTTTATGAAAGAAAAGCATAATAACATTATGAACCACTTATCAAATATATACAGTGATAACCAGAAAACTGGAGAATTGAAAGATGACATTAAAGCTATCCGTAAGTGTGTTTGATATTGTTACAAAGCAAATAGATTTACTAGAAAGTTATTAAATCACTTACAAAGTTAAATATGTCTGCTTACACTGCACAATTGCTGTTCATTGAGCTATAATTCAAGTCATAATTTGAGTCTATAAGTTGACTTTCTATTCCAGAGTTTTCTGGTACTCTCTCACTGTACTTTTGCAGGGAATGCTGGCAGTCAATATGGCATGGTGGTTTTATATGTCAAAATTCACTGATTTCGTGGATTCGTTCTTTTTTGTATTACGTAAGAAAAATAATCAGCTGACTTTCCTCCACGTGGTGCACCACTCATCTATGCCAGTTTTCTCATGGTTTGGTCCTAAGGAACACAACTTTAATAACATATATTATAATATTTATGGTAAAATTATATTATTTTGTTAATTTTCTCAAGAGGGTACTAATAAAAAATCATGTAACAAGACATATTATTCTCTCTGAAAGGGGATAATTAATTTAGTGCACAGTCTGTACATGTACTGTACTACTTGCTCTAACTGCATTTAAGTCGGTACAGCATTTGAAAGGAACTGGAATTTTCAGTGAAGAAATGTATCTTGAAATGAAGTTTGAGAACCCAGCTTTGCCTTCAGTTTTCCATATAAAAGTCGACCCCCAGTCAACTGAGAAATTATTAAACCAAGCCAAGATCATTTCCGCGGTTCTACCGAGTTCCCCAATTAAAATTTGAGGCAAATCGGTGAAGGGGTTTGTTACGTATAATCGGAGAAACAAACTAACAAACAGAGATACACAACTTTATATATAAATTGATATGATTAGATTTATTCTAAAAGATCAATGGAATTACCCACAATTACCCAAATAATAATGTCAAGTGCTTTTCTAAATTGCCATGGAATCGAAATTATAAACCCTTTGTAACAAGTCAATAAAGGCTTCTTTCATTTATAACTGTCTCGATCAAAAACGTATTTTGTAGTTTTACCAGTTTAAGTTTTACCACAGAGTAACAAAAGTTGTGTACGTAGTTTGCTGGTGGTGGTCACACTTCCTTCGGTGGTACCTGGAACATGCTTGTACATGTTATTATGTACTTCTACTACTTCCTTGCAGCCGCAGGGGTCAAGTAAGTTGACATGAAAACTTTAGGATTGATAACCTTAATCTGAATATTCATTGTGGACACTTTTAATTTCCTTCCTAATCCGCTCTTTTTCTTTCTTTTTTCTCCCTGCAAGATTTTGACCAATGAGAGTTACTCATTAAATGGCACAAAAGAAATTAAAATTTCCCGGCTTCTTATTGGCTGTTCAGTATTCTGCATGCGCCACACTTTTGATTGAATTTTATCTACTTTTCTGGATACAAATTAAGTGAAATGGGCCTGTTTATACTGGACAATTGATGTGTACAACTCTAAGTTTTTAAGTAACAATTAAAATTTTTAAATAAAAAGTTATATTTCATCAACTAAGAAGAAATCATGTCGATTAAGAAAGTAAATGCAGTTTATAAAGCAAAGAAATACTGATGAAGATTATACAAAAATCCTAATCGTAAAACATATTTTAAAGAAAAGTAGCATGACCCGGTCCGGTACAACACATAATATATATGCAGGGAATAAGAATAAAAGGACGGGAAATGGCGCTGGTCTGGCATGAGAAAGCCAGTCGCACTGCTTTGCAGACGAGTTCGCTATTACACACGCACAATCTTTTGGTACATTCTTTACACGAAAATTTGGCTTATAGTTGACTTTAATTTATAAATATGTGTATTAAACAATTAACAATAAACAAATGTATTTTCCTAGACTGTACAAAAACCGAGATTCTTATGTACTGTATATACCTAAGTACACACCTTCGGTTCGGTATTACTTACAAACACTCTTTTGCTACAAACACACATACATGACGTTTCCGCCCCCTGCGTATATGCAGTTCGTTGTACCGTACAGTTTTTCAGGCGTGAGTTGCTCTGGTGGAAGAAGTATTTGACCGGACTACAAATGGTTCAATTTGTTGCTGTAATCCTTCACGCCATGTTTCCTCTTGTACTCTCAGACTGCAATTATCCTAAGGTGAAATATATTTATAAGAAATTGTTTATGAATAAAAAAGATGAATATATCTATATGATACAAAATGGACTATTCCGATTCGTGAAGCAAGAAAGAGAATATATATACATTATACAAATAAAAATTGCAAATTTTAAGGACTGTTCATTAATAAAGAAAGAGAATATATATTATATACATTATACAAATCAAAATTGGAAAGGTTAGGAACTGTTCATTAATAAAGAAAGAGAATACATTATACAAATCAAATTGCAAATTTTAGGGACTGTTCATTAATAAAGAAAGAGAATATATATACATTATACAAATCAAAATTGCAAAGGTTAGGAACTGTTCATTAATAAAGAAAGAGAATATATATACATTATACAAATCAAATTGCAAATTTTAGGGACTGTTCATTAATAAAGAAAGAGAATAAATATACATTATACAAATCAAAATTGTAACCGTTTTACTATATCTGGTTACCTGGTTCAAATAATCCAGACTGATTAGAAAAGATGCATCGATATACAAGACTGAGTCGACTTAAAAGTGTTGTAACGCCTTACTAACAAAATTATCCTTTTATTGGAAGCCCTATAAATGTACAGTTTAGAAATTGAAATCCAGGAAATATACATAAGTTTTTCTTACAATTATAATTTTTCTAATAGTTAAAATGAAAAATTTGAAACTCAAATCTGTCTGGAAATTGTTTTACAGCAATTTCCATTTCCAGAAACACTTGTCTTCAAATTCATTAATGTATCCATTTTGTTCCGGAAAGCTCTCCATTTAAAAATTTTGAACCATTTAATTTAGAGGAACTGTAAGCATACTTTAAAGTGACCCTCCATTTGAAGAGTGGGATGTCCTGTACAATAGTATCCTTGTTTCATTAGCTTGAAGAAAAGTGTTTAATTCAAATAATTTCTTTTCTCCATAAATAGCAAAAAATACGCAAGTCTTTGAAGAGAAACCAGAGTTGAAAATAATAATTTTTTAATAATAAAAAAATATCTAAATCAAACTTGACATGCCATTGCCACTATAAAATTAAAGATTACTTGAATTTACGTAAATAATTCTTTATTTTTAGGAAATGTCTTTCATCATTATATTTAACGGTGCTCTGTATTTTGTATTATTCTGGAAATTCTACAAGAAATCCTACAGCATCACTCCTTCAAAACCTGCCAATAAACAGGAGTAGTTTCCGTCTTTTCAGTTTTTTAACATTACTGACCTCTGTTGTTAACTAAACTCAACCTTGGGTTGGGACACTTGTAAAATGGCATTCCGTTCGGACACTTGTAAAATGACATTCCGTTCGGACACTTGTAAAATGACATTCCGTTCGGACATTTGTAAAATGACATTCCGCTCGGACACTTGTGAAATGACATTCCGCTTCGGACACTTGTAAAATGACATTCCGTTCGGACACTTGTAAAATGACATTCCGTTCGGACATTTGTAAAATGACATTCCGTTCGGACATTTGTAAAATGACATTCCGCTCGGACACTTGTGAAATGACATTCCGCTCGAACACTTGTAAAATGGCATTCCGTTCGGACATTTGTAAAATGACATTCCGCTCGGACACTTGTAAAATGACATTCCGCTCGGACACTTGTAAAATGACATTCCGTTCAGACACTTGTAAAATGACATTCCGTTCGGACACTTGTAAAATGACATTCCGTTCAGACACTTGTAAAATGACATTCCGTTAGGACACTTGTAAAATGACATTACGTTCGGACACTTGTAAAATGACATTCAGTTCGGACACTTGTAAAATGACATTCCGTTCGGACATTTGTAAAATGACATTCCGCTCGGACATTTTAATCATACAGACGTAAAACTGTGTAATGTGTAGGCAACTACTTTTCAAGAATTTAAATTTCTACTTTTCCCTCGACTTGGGAACCCTTGGTAAATTAAAATCTGCAGGACTTCGAGTCAATTTTCAAACATTATTCGGTTAATTATTTTTTCTTTTGTTCGTGTAATTTTCGTATGTTTTTTTTCGCGAAAATGTTGTCTTTTTTGCGGAATTTTCACAATTCTTTCGTAAAATTTTTTTTTACTCAAAATGTTCGCATTCTTTTTTTCGCGAAACAGAATAAAGAAAAATATTGTATATTTTCATGATAGCAGATTAGATTATTATACTTACGTGTGAATTGTTCCAAGTAAATTTGTTCTTTACGTTACTTTTTATTGAAAATATTTCTATTTTATTTAATTTATTTTATGCTGAGAATTACTTTTTACAAGTTTTTAGATATTTTTATGAAAAGTGTTGCATGTATTTATTTGATTAGTATCATACTTAATTGTATGTTGTTATTTAAAATAAATTATATGGAGCATATTTCATTGTTATATGTCTGGTCTAAAATGATTAATATTTATTACAACTTAAACTACAATAGGAAGAACTACTACATTTACAACGATAAGATAAATACAATATGATTAATTCCAATTGTGCCAATGCTATAATAGAAATTTACTTATATAAATACTTTAATTCAAAATTTAGATTTTTGTAAATTCTAATTTTATAATCTCCATATCTTTGTGACTTGGTGGTGCTAACCTTTGATATTTCAAACTGCAAAAATATAAGGTTTAAATACAATATAGTAGAATTCTACTGTTTAAAAATATATCAAAGGTTCCATGTTATGAATATCTAATCTATACCTTATGATCTAAAGAGATTTTGATCTCAGAGTATCCTGATCTAATGATAATTTGATCTTAGAGTATTATCCTAATCTAATGAGAATTTGATCTCAGAGTAGCCTGATCTAATGAGAATTTGATCTCAGAGTAGCCTGATCTAATGAGAATTTAATCAAAAAACAGAAATTCATGTAAAATGTTTGATCTAAAGAGAATTCGATCTAAGAGTATCCTGATCTAAAGAGAATTTGATCACCGAGTAGCCTGATCTAATTGAGAATTTATTCTAAAAACAGAAATTCATGAAAAATATTTTTTTAGATCTTTAAGTCCACAATTTTATGAAAGTTTTGGGAATTTGATCTTAAAAAATGTGGACTATATATGATCAGAGCTTCATTATATACATAGACTAGCTGAAATCCCGATCTTTATAAAAGCTACTCTGCAAAACTATGAAAAAATATTGTCTTTGTTTATATTCTAATTTCCAGAGGAACAACTAGCACTTTTGCAAGGGGGGGGGGNTTCGTTGGACAACCTGTATTATACAGTTCAACCAAGAACTTCGGAGACGCCGAAAGAATTAATTAATATAATGTCGTTTTTTAAACATACTGAAAAGGATATGCTGTAGATAGTTAGTTTTTTTTATAAAATAGTTATATGGAGCATATTTCATTGTTATATTTGTCAGGGCTAGGAGAATTAATTGATAATTGTTTCAAGAATCATACATGTTAAAGTAGATAGAAAACTAAATGTCACAAATAAATTCAAATATCAAAGACGACTTTCAAGTCGTAGCTTGCTATTGTCATGTTTCGTGGGACGTACCCTGTATATGCTCAACCAACCTAAATATATCTCTAACTTTTAGGTCGGAAAACCATATTTCTCATAAGATGTCAAACGGACCTACAGCTTTTTTCAACCAAACCGACCTAAAACACGTGCAAACTACTCGATATTTAGCTGTCAGAAAACCTTTAGGTTAGAATCATCTAGGTCGGAATACACAGCACCAATTTATGTTCAGGAAACGACGACTTTTATATTAAGCATTAATTAAGTAAAAGTTTCGTACATAAAAAGATTGTTCTGAAATATTGTTTATTGTGTAAGATACTAAAATAAAAATAAATCCCGAAAAATCATCATTAGTTAGATAATTGCTGCTCAATTACCGGAAAAGATGACCATCATGATCAACAATAAAAAATTTCAGACGACGTGATCAAATTGAGGTTTCGTGAATTTTAGCATCTTATTCAGTAAACTATAGATTGAGTGAAAGTCGAATAAAACTAGTTCCCTCTCAAAAACGACAGTTCATCCAAATAGAAAGTATTCATGCTGTGAATAAAATCGGAAGAACTTTTTAAATTTAAATAAAATCGGGTTTTTAAGCTGAATGATTATGTTTTGAGTTCTTGTTGTTGTTTTAAATTAGAAAAAAATATCAAAAAGCGGAGTAATATTTCAACACGTAAATCTGAGTTCTAGATTCTGAGTATATATTATATATATACAAACTACCTGCCTTCACACAGAGGACCTTCAAATCAACAGTTTATTGCGCGGAATGGAATTGTTAAAAGTGATGGTTGATTAAAGGACATTCAAGTGAACAAGTGACAATTAAGTGATAATCATACACATCTGGGAAAAGCCATAAGTCGATAAATAAATATATTTCATAATTCGTCGTCCATGATGTTTCAAAACAAAGTAGATAAACAAATGAATTTGATAGATTTTTAAAATTTTTCAGATTTAATGAAATTTACAAAACTGTTCTGTTTTGGAAGATCTATAGAATCTAATGAAGAGAAAAAGGTAAGATGAGTTGCGTGGAGTTTTAAATATCATTAAAATGGCCGGACTTTTTACCCAATATTCTTTATTTTTGTTTTATAAACGTGAATAATTCGTTTAATTTCGTTTTAGATTTTATTTTAATTTTATATTTTAGAGAAAGATTTGAGAAAACACCAAGCTAAGAAATTAATATTTAAAAATTTAGGTAATACAACTTGTTATAATATAAAATAGTTATATGGAGCATATTTCATTGTTATATTTATCTTTATAAATACTGAGATTTAGGTTTAACAGTTTGAACCCATTGATAAAGTTTCAAGACGACATTTTATAAATTCTATTGATGACTCCGAAGTTCTGGATTAAACTGTAAAATAAAAATAAACATGATAAGTTAAAAACAGAGACAATTTTATGAATATAACATTTCATTTCAAATGAAATAGTAGTTTATTGTATTTTGAATAGAAATGTATTTACAATTAAAGGGACTGTAAAGGAAAATTGAAAGGGGGGTATAGACTGAAACCTGAGAATCTCAGGAGTTGAACGATACCTATAAAAGTTCTATCTGATGTTCCTTTCTCAAGAAATTGACACAAAACGGTGTCAAAATTATACCAAAACGTATATATATGTAAGATTTTGTATAAGATTCGTAGTATCGTTCAACTCCGGAGAATTCAGGTTTTAGCCCATACCCCCTTTCATTTTTCCTTTACAGTCCCTTTAAATTTTAATATCTCAGATCTTTATTATAAGAATGAGTCGGGTTCTAAATCCTGAAATTGGAAATGTCCTGTATTACCATTTACCAAATTAATGTATAATATGTATGTCTGGTCTAAAATGATTAATATTTATTACAACTTAAACTACAATAGGAAGAAATACTACATTTACAACGATAAGATAAATACAATATGATTAATTCCAATTGTGCCAATGCTATAATAGAAAGAAAACTACAACATGATGTTTACCACAATAATTACAATATTAACTGAAGATGAATGTTACAATTATCAATAATAATAAAAATGATAACTACAATTATCTAAAGACAAGAGAAAATCAAGGCAACATTAAGATAAAATTAGATTATTTATTATTTCCCAAAATATTAAACGTTGACATTTTTACCGGACAAAATCTAAAAAATTTGGGGTGGTTCATAAACCTTTCCTTGGGTCATGTGTGACAAATTTGGGCCTGATAGTACTGCTGTTCTGACGTTTATCGGGTAAAAATAGAGACTAAGCAAAAAGCATGAATTGAAATGTACTGAAACCGTTTTGAAATATCTCAAGTTATTAACATGAAAATAATATCTGGCATGCTCTAGAGAACACAGATGTTTTGCTAAGCATTCTCGCGGAGGTTATACTGAACACATAAAAATCTAATTAAACTGAAACTTGACAAATTCATTCCCGTGTTTGCAGATGTTATTTTGACGACTTTCTTTGACAAATCATAATAATAATGTGCTGAATTTTATGGTGAACATTATATGGTGATTTTAAGATCATGAAGCTTTCAATAATTGACTCCTCAGATTTGTTGTCTTTCTCGTAATTTGTTTCTTGTTTTGTGAATAACAATGCTAAGGATCCATCACAATTTGATCCGGATCCGAAAATCAGAAAAAAATGATCAGGATTTAGCTCAGATGATTTTTTTTTATTCCAGAAACTTGTTTTTCCATTCAAAATTAGTTTTTGAGAACTTTTTCTTGTTCGTCATTAAAAATGTGTACTTCAACAATATATTTAATGACGTTTCGTTTTTAATAAAATTTTGGATTATTGGAGGTAAAGGCTGCAAATCCAATGGGCCTGGATTACAATTAGCACAACGCGATGTTGTATTTTATGGAATTTAAAATGAAACTTAAAACATTTTTTATGATTACATATATGACTAGGTACCGAGGGATGCCTCATGGTAATATTATTCCTCCTCCACATCCCCACCGTCAACATCAACAGCAGATGTTTCAACAACAGCAGAATAATCAGATGTTTACGCCTCATCAACAACAGCTTAGAGAGCAGGTAAAATGGAGGAAACAAAGGAACTGAAAATGAAGTGTTCTGCGTTGCCTGCGGAATTTTATAAAAAAAAATTTAGCCTAGGTTACTCCCACCCATGGGAAAAAAATAAAAATTATTACAACTAGCAAGGATTCCCACCTTTCTGTTAGAATCAGTTAATTTTCACAGAAATATTAGTGCTTCAATTTCAATTCTTTTTAAATCTGGAGTATATCCCTGGGCCCCCAGGGTACATGTTTTGAAGAGTTACCTGGGGGGGGGGGTATGTTTGTCGAAGATTTGGGTAAATAAAAATGTGATACCAACTAGAAACGTTTTCTCCTTTTTCATACTTTATTTTACTTAATCTCGAAAAAAATTCGATGTAAAACCTTTAAAACATTCCTTACATGAGTGGGGGGGGGGGGGGGTTAACATTTTTTAAGATTTAGGAAAGTTGATATAAATATGGACACTTACTGTTTTTCGCATTTTAATACTTAACTTGATAATTAGTTTTTACCCCACCCCCCTCCTCCCCCGAAATCCGGCGTAAAACCTTTAAAAAACATTTTTTTAAGGAGAGGAGGGGATTATATATTTTTTTTTTGAAGATTTAGATAAGTTAAAAAAATATGGACACTTACTGCTTTTTTCTCCTTTTTTAATACTTTTTCCCCAAAATATTTAGTTACCCAGCCCCCTCCCACGAAATGCGGCGTTAAAAAAAAGTTTATTAATGCGGTGGATTTTTATTCCTGTGTTTCAGATTTTTTTTTGTCTAGGAGAAGCAGAAGAGGAAAGAGCAAGCCTTAGCTAAACGCCAGGAGAAGATTTCTGAAGATCTATTTCAAGCTCCAGTCAAGATGACGGTAATGATATAAATTTCAGCCATTTTCTTGCTCGTAAATGCTGTAGAATGTCAATAGCGAGTTATTTAATATGTAGAATATGTGAATATATAATATAACACAAGGATGAAATTTTGTTTTGAACACTCAAAAATCATCTTGAAGAGTAAAAAAGTAACATGTCGTGATAAAAATCCCAAATTTATATGATATCTTCAATCGTCTTCTGTTATTATTTGGGGCAAATATTTTTTTTTTTTATTCGTTACTTATTTATTTGCTTTCGGTTCTGATTAAAGTATTTAAAACAAACCAAAACTTGTAAAAATTCACACATGCATGATAACACGTGGCAGTTGTTTAAAAATATATTTGAATTGAAGGATTGAACCCAATTTGTGCAGGAATCTGCTGTTCCTGGGATTAATGCTGAGAAGGTGCTCGGCAAGCATAAGAATGCGTTCTCTGTGATCAATAAATCATCATGTGTTGGAGTAGACTACCAGCCTCCAACACCTGCTCCTGTCCAGCATATAGGTAAAAATTTAGCTCATATTCTTTGCATAAAAAATATTTGATTTATTCTCTTATTTTTAGATGAGGATGATGAAGATAATAAACCGCCGCGAAAAATGCCGGCGATGATCAAACCGCAAAATAATACTCGTCTACCGCCGAATATGGAGAATCCTCGCCCTGCTAGTAAACCCCGTCCCCCGCCTCCCAGCAAAGAACCCTGGAACAACATGGCTCCGCCCATCACACCTCATATGCACAGAGCCGCCGGACGCCCGGTCCCGCCGGTCCGAAATACGCCACCTCTCAATAATTACAACGGGCACCCGCCGACACAAAAAGGGCGGAATCCCAGCTTGAGTAATCTCAAGATAGATCCTAAGATGAATACAAGTATAGAGGTGATTTAACAACATAAACTTTAAAGAAAAACAATTAATATGAGATCAGCAAAATAAATACAGTCTAGAGAGATATAATTTGGGGAAAGGCAAAATATTGCATAAAATAATTTTAAGGACTGTAATCATCATAACTTGATGAATAAGAATTAAAAAATAAATAAAACGTGATTTTTTCCCAAACCTCTGTTATTCATTCAAGCACTGTACGGTACTGTACTGTACTGCACTGTACTGTGCTGTACCTTGCTTGTATTTAAGGATGAACAAGTGAAGAAGATTCTCGGTGAAGTTTTAGGTGGAGGTCTGCCCTCCGCCCCTCTATCAGGTGAAAATAATAGAATTATTTGCCATCCCTTCCTCTTTAAACAGTTTAATATAAGAATATCAATCCTCCTCTCTAACAGTTTACCACGTGTTCTTTAAAAAATGGTTTCGTATTTTTATTGTATTATTTCTCAGTTTGTTACGGTTATCATTGCCCATGCTTGTATGATAATAATGTGTTATTTTCTTTTAGATGTCATCTTAAATTATAATATTAAAATGTTTTATTACTTTACAATTTTACAATTTTACAATTTTACAATTTTACAATTTTACAATTTTACAATTTTNCTAGAAATCTTATTTTTTTAAAATACATCTTGTAAAAATATATGATTAATGAAACCCTGAAAACCCCTGAAAAAAAAGCCTGTTTTAAGTCGTGGCTTTGGGGGGAAAAAATTATTCGAAAAGGGGGGGGGGCAAAAAAAGTCTTAGAACTAATACACAGTATACTTCCTCATTCATTTATTCCCTTATATATTTGGTGTAATAGTTTTATAAATATCTTTAAAATATTAGTAATCTAATTTTGATGTGCTATGTCTTGTTAAATGTTATGATTATTTGAATATGCAATTTTATGAATTTATAATATTGCCAGGTATCAGACAGGGTTCGATACCAACAACTTCTTCTTTAACAATCCTCCACCTAGCCTCGTGAAACGACTCAGTGAGAGTGACAGTGATAAGGTGAAATACTTCCTAATCAAGTTCAAATGCAAAATCATTCTTAGTTATGCATTTTATATCATAGAATAGCAAAGTTGGAAGTTTAACTGCTTAGAGCAACTCGCAACATTTATTTTTTTTTTGGAAAAATAACATTTCCCTATTTTAAAAAAGATATAAAAGACATTAAAATGATTATGTTGGGAGTCTTTGGTTTAATGGTTGAAATTTATTCAGTTTTTTCATAATGCTAAAATAAGAAAAGTAATGTGATTGAAGGAAAAATTAATTAAATTCTGATTAAAAAATTGTCAAAAAGAAGAAGAGGGGGGGGATGTTTTATAAAATAAACCCGTATTTTTGACTTGCAACTTGTTTGTCTTCCAAATAACCCTCGACCTTTAGCATATATTCTTTTCATGAAACTATTTTTATTTTTACGTAAACCTGTTTTTATTTTGCAATTGTTACCGAAAATGTTTTCAGGAAATTGTTCCGATGAAAGAGGAACCGAAGGTTGGTAAGACGGAGGAGAGTTCTAGCTCCGACTCTGATGAGAGCAGTGATAGTGACAGTGAAACTAAGGACTCGGAGGAGGAGGAGCTCAAACCTCCGATCCTTGATTCGGAGGACAAGGAGGATAGCGATGAGGACCACCCAGTGAAAGACTTCAACCTCGCCAGCTTTATTAAGCGTGAGGACAAGACCCCTCCGACGAGCAGTGTCCGTACCCTGGATCCTAGTCCCAGGCCCTATATACCGACCCCTAGCCCTGCACACAGTATACCACAGAGTACCCTACCCAGCCCTGGATTCATTAATGTCCCTGAACTCCTTGGACCTCTCTCCCCTGAATCCCCAGCTGGGAAACATGATATTGATAAACATTTTGATTATATAAAAAATATACCTGACGTTATTGATCCCATGGGACCAGATTCGGAATCTGATGATGATATTCAACTTAAACGGAAATCTTCCTCACTTGAAACCAACCGGAAACCACCAGCGCCGGAAAGTCGGCGAAAGCCCTACAGGAAACGGAAACGTGAGCCGGACGTCAAACCTTCCATTAGCAAAGAATTTGTTGAATCTGATTCGGACTCAGATTCCCGTCGGGTTGTCAAGAAACCGTCTCATATCCGAGCCACATCCTCAAGTCCTCTGAAAGTGCACAGTCCTCGGAAACCCCACAGCGCACAGTCGACCCCAGTTCGTCGCCACCAGATGATAAAGTCTCCTCAATTGTCAGAATCAGATGATGAAGAACCTCCAGCGGTGGCTAAGGCCAAGCAAGAGACCGGAAACCACAAGAAAAAAGCTCTACTCGCCATGTTCGGCAAGAAGGCTGCTCTGGGCAAGGGTGGAGGGAAAGGAAAGGGAGGAAAAGGCAAGAGTGGTGGAATAAATTTTATAGTTGGAGAGCGGGGAGAAGACGAGGAGTATGAGAGGAATCGTGAAGTTCAGAGAAGCGTGTCTCCTGAACCTCAAATCCAGCCAAAAGCGGAGTCCAAATCTAAGTCAGAGCGGAACGAATCTCCGCGGTTACCTAAATTTGAGGTTGTTAAACATATGGAGGTTAGTTCTAAAGAACGAGGTCCAACGAAACCCCTCCCGACTGTAAGTTATAAACCTAATGGCCGGCCTTCCCTAATATTTTCTGTACCATTGACGAGAATTGGCCGAAGTCCCGCCGGTCATCGATGGCAAAATGCAAGAGGTAAGAAAGGGAAGGATAGGTGGATAACTAAAAGTGATAATGAGATGATTAAAAAACCCAGTGAACCTTCCCTTAGTGAACGAACTCTTGATGACGCACGCTTGGAGCCTCCTGACCGACCCGGCTCCGCGCGCAGAAGCTCATCTCGAGATAGACACGGCTCAGGAGCTTCCCGCTCGAGTGTGCGAAGCTCCCATAGGAAGGAATGTGATAGGACGCTTGAAACTGGTGAGGAGGTGTTGAGTGAGTATGATAGGAAGAGACGGGAGCGGGAATCTAGTCCGGGATTTGATCCTGATCCCTCGAGTGCCAAGAGGTTGCGGGAGGATGAGGAGTACAATTCCTCCCTTCCTTCATCCTCGCTCCCGCCAGCACATCCAACCTTTCTACCCGGTAACGGAGGGTGCTTAATGCCTCCGCCCAGGTAATTTTTTCGGAGGATTTTTAATTTTCTAAATGTTCCTATAGTATAAAAAGCAATTTTAATTTAAAGTTGTAATGCATTTAAATTTCTAGTTAGGAATTATATCTTTAATCGACCAACGCCTTTAAAAAGATCTCAACTTGTTAAAAAGCCTTTTGCACGGCACTTGAATTATGATTTATCTTAAAGGGACTTTTTTAAGATGTCCTTTTTTCGAGTTGCATCCATTATAACAACTTACCCTTTATTCTTCTTTTATAAAAAAGGAAACCTATCTTTTTCGGTTTTTCCATAAACGTTACATATTGACAAAGGAAGTCAAGAATTAAAAGGAAAACCGTCAGAATTTCAAGTTATCTTCCTTGTTGTCACTCCTTGAACTGTTGAGGGGTCACTTGAAATTAAGTTAACAGTCCCTGTTTAAGTATTCAATGTTCTGAAGTGCTTGAATATTTTGTTGAGCTAGAACCTTTGTTTGGCAAGCTTAAGATAAAGATAATGTTTGCTTAAAGAGGAGGAAATCAAAAAGGAAATTTTTTGTTTCATTATTTTTGATATATACATATATACATATATACATATATACATATATACATATATACATATATACATATATACATATATACATATATACATATATACATATATATTGTCCTAATATATTCCTAAAAGACACCAAAAACGATTCTAGAAATGATGTTTTAAATGATTCTAAACTTTAAAAATGTGTCTTTATAAATGATTTTAACAATAATTCTAAAAATTATTCTTTTAATGCTACTAAAAATGCCTAAAAATTATTTAAAAAAATTATTTAAAAAAAATATTGTTTAAATGATTATTAAAGTGATTAAAAAAATGAATTTTCAAATGATTCCTAAAAATGAAATCAAAAATATTTCTGACAGGTTCTAATAATGATTTTTTTAAAGATACCAAAATTGATATTATAAATTATTCTAAACGTTTTCTAAAAATTTTTCTAAAAATAATCCTAAAAATAATTCTAAAAATTATTCTAAAAACCATTTTTCTTTAAATGATTCTAAAGAAGATTCTTTAAATAAATCATTAAATGAATTTTTAAATAATCTTTACATGAATCTCAAAAGAAATCTGGCTTCTGAAAATGCTTCTAAAAATGCCTCTAAAAATAAATAAGGAATCTTATAAGGACGGGGTGCGTAACAATTTCATAATCACGTCTTATCTGAGTGTAGACTCTAAAGGTGATCTTACAGCTAGGATTGCGTGTATTGTATACTGTATACTGAATGCATGTTACCTACCTGATCATTTAACCAGGAAGCACAACATCCAGTTCAAATAGATATTTTTTATCCTTATCTATTCCATGCATATCCAGGGGCGCATAGAGAGGGGTGGGATTTTTACCCCCCCCCCCCAAA